TAAAGGCCTAATATAGCTTGTCATTTCTTCAATTTTAACTGTTAATATTGTATTTGTTTTTTAGGGCATTGCTCTCTTTCTCTCTATATGTGCGCGCGTGCGCGTGCGCTTATATAATTGACTATCTAGTTTGATGAATATTGATAAGGGAGACTCGACTGTCGTTGCTTTCGTTATTTGACAAATTCAATTTTTTATGTAAATTATATATTCATTTAACAAGTGATAATAGATAATTAACAAGTATTGTTGAAGAATTAACAAGTAAAGTTATGCAATTAACAAGCAATTAACAGTTAAACAAATCTTATTATGGTATTAACAAGTCAAGTTATATAATTAACAAGTATTGTTGCGTAATTAACAAGTAAAGTTACATGATTAATAAGTAATGCAGTTCAGTTGGAGGAGTCATGGATTTGACAAATAAATTCAAGTAATTAATAAGTCTTGTTAAGGTATTAACAACTACAATTATGCAATTAACAAGTAATGTAGCTCTATTGTGAGAGTCACAAACTTAACAAGGAGAGTTAGGTAATTGACAAGTCCTGTTAAAGTATTAACAAGTATAATTATGTGCTTAACAAGTAATTTAATTCTGTTACAGGAGTCATGGGGTTAACAAGGAAAGTTAAGTGATGAACAAGTCTTATTAAGATACTAATAAGTAAAGTTACACAATTAATAAGTAACACAATAATTAAGTGGTTTGAAAACAAGATTTATTATATATATAACTTTATGCATTATATGATTAAATGGGGTTGAGTGGTTTGGTGCTCCAAAACCTTTTGGTAAACAAAGAGGTCTTGGATTCTACACATATTTTGGCCACCTTTAAAAAAATTAATTCTCCATAATTCTTCAACCACCACCGACGATGGTCCAACTGGCCACCTGAGCTTTGGCAAAAGAGGTCTAGTGGCTACCATCGCCAACGAAGCTCTAGTCATTGATAGTGGTGCTCTGGTAATGGTGGTTGGTGGTTTTTTTTTTTTTAATATTTGAATTGAGGGTATTTTTATGTTTTTTACATTTAACTTATTTTCAATTTAATCTACAAGGATTGAACTAAGGTTTTAGAATCTTTTAAGACACATCAGAAAATATGTTTCTTCCCAAATCCTTAAATGAAATTCTCCCATTTATTTTTAACTTAATTCAATTTCTTCCTCTTTGCCTTCCTTAACTCCATGTCTCTATCAATGCGTCAACCTATCCTCATATTATATAAGATTCATTAAAAACTTTAAAAATTAAAAAAATTAGTTAAGAGTCATTTTTATTCTTAAATTATATATAAAATGTCACAAATGACCACAAACTCAACTCTAAATTAATTGAACATCCATTATCATCTTGATGTTAAAAATACTTACTCTTTCCGTTCAAAAATATAAGGCATTTTTAAATCAATCTTACTTTTTAATAAAGTATTTACTTACTTTTAAACTAACCATATTTTTTCATATTTACCTCCATTAAACACCCTATAATAAATATAAAATCATTCATCAATAGAAACACTTTTGAAAAAAAATAACAATTATACTTTAAAAGATTAAAAATGTCTTATATTTTTAAACATTCAATTCTTCAAAAAATCATTTGCATTTTTGAACGAAACGAGTAACATTCATTAATCATCAGTAAATGTCACTATGATTTTTTAATATCTTTTATCAAGTTAAATGTTATTTTTTCTCTCAACTTTCATTCAAAGGTCATTTTTGTCCATCAATCCAAATATTTTATAATAAAAATATTAAAAAATAATATGAGGACTATTAATGGTAATAAAACAGCAATGTCATAACAAAGAGAATTTTTAAAATTAAAGAATGAAACCAACCTATCATTGGGTTTAAAATTATTTATGACATTTTCTATTCAGTTTAAAGAGACAAATGACCACCCATTTAAAAAGTATCATGGGATTTTTGTTTTTTTTTTTTTTTGGAGGATGATAACTCTAAACTAAGTCCAGCAATATTCAAATGCGATCCCTGTGGACACCAAATAGTTGTGTTAAAAGATAGCGACACTATTTTCTATATTTTCATGCTACGTTTAAATATAAGGGATTTAAATTGAAACTTTGGCCAAATCCACCATAATAACATCAAATGACATTACATATATATATATATATTTTTTTTTCTTCATCTAAATTTTTCAGCAACATTCCATAAAAGTTGGATTTTCCAACAATATTTAAAACAATCAATCGCCAACCCCACCTAGGGAATAATACCCGTTGTTGTTGTTGTAGTATTTAAAACAATCAATCAACCAATTACGACAAAGTAAAAGATCTGTGCTCTCAATTTGTACAAGATATACAAACATGGAGCTGAGCCCTACTTCTGATTTTTGTGGATCAACCCTTGACTACAACCAAAAAAATCAGATTTACCACGAAATCAACTTTGTCCTTCCAGCTAAGACGACTCTCCAACAAGGAGGTAATCCGATCAACATAACAAATGAAGGACTAGGTTCATGTCAACTACTTGGAATACAAATAATTTAATAAGTAAGGACATCTCATAACGCATTTCATCACTAAAATAATTAACGAGTGTAAAATAAATTAATATCGAACCACAACTAGTTTTCTCAAATCACAACTCAATAATTTAGATTTATAAAGCACTTAAAATACGCATACATAGATACAGGTAACAGATGTACAAAGCAGATATCCAAGACTTGTATAACCATGCTCATAATTAACAAATAGAAACTAAAAGAATACTCGAGTCCAAGCATTTACAGTTCCGTGCCTCTCAAGCATAATCCACAAAATAGGATCACATTTCAGACTCATAAGGATGTGAAAATTGAACATAATTACTTCATATACTTCAGAAAATAAGACAAGGTAGTCTTGCACTAGAGCCTACAGTGCTACCCAATCATTCAGGAGTTTAAACCAATCCTTTCCATTCATAACGAGCTCGCATATAGCATCTTCGCAATTCAAGACAGCGATAAACAAAATAATAGAACAACACACTAAAAGACATGCAACCAACATCTGTAAGCAAGCACCACCAAACAATTCATATCATTCCACATTCGCTGCTCACAATCTTCCCTCAACATAATCTAATTTAAAAATCACACTCTTAGCTTATAATTCCAACAAGCATAAAGACTAACTTCCTAACTCTCATATGCTAATATAGGATTAAAGTATCTCATAGGCTGAAGTCCAATCAAAGTTACAACCGTTATGAGTAGCAACCGAGTACCAAGTAAAATTATAACTCTTCTTTTCTTTGTAAAATTCTGTCAAAATTCAAACATTTGATTGCCTCTCGTGTAACAATCATTAACAATCATGATACAAGCATTCTAGCATTCAAATCCTTCTTTTCCACAGTCCACACACATATTCATAAATCCAGCTCCGTCAACTAGAAACAATAATTCACCAACAGCAAAAAAAAAAATCCCCATTTTCTCAATTCATTAACGTTCTTTGGGGGGAAAAAAGGAGAAGGGAGGACGTGAATTTCAGTTGCAGTGGAAGGGATCAACCAGAAAATAAGTGATGGAATTACCTATTAATTTGAATCACGGATGCTTTCAGTATCGACTAGCAACAATTTCAAACTCCTTATATAAACTGAAGAAGCTTATCCAAGGAGCACAAAAGCAAAGGGCAACAGCAAGATGAGCGATGCACCTGTAGAAGCCTGAAGCCAACAGAGGACCAGCAGCAGGCCATTGGAATACAGCGAGGAAGGAGATACAAAGGTCAAAGAATCAGCTACACGCACACGAAGACGAACAAATCTTCTAGTAGTGTCAAACAAGGGATCAAACGTTCAGTCTTATGAGAAGCTCTGCACAATACTTCCGCTAGTCCCCAGCTTCACATTTACTACAAGTTCTACCAATTTAAATGTTCAAAACAGCCTAATTATTCTTTGTTTCCACTCAATATTTATTCTTAAATTGAATTTATTTATTCACTCATTCATTCATGCATTACCAGATAAAATATTAGAAAAACTAATCATTTGATCCCTGTAGTTTTGACTCAGTTGTAATTCAATCTCTGAACTTTGACTCATTATAACTCGATCATTATAATTTTGACTAGTTGTAGTTCAATCCTTGAACTTTAACTTGCTACAACTTAATTCTTATTGTTTTAACTATTTAAAATATTGATCCTTATATTTTAAAAATAAAATTCTAAAAATTTAAAATTATGTTGGCATTTAGGGACTCATTTTTTAAATTACTATAATTTTTAATTTGATAAAGATTATAAAGATTAAGATTTTAAAATAATTTTAATCTTTCTAATTTTATTTTGTAAAACATAAGGACTAATATTTAAATAGTTAAAATTATAAGGACTGAATTGCAATAAGTCAAAATTTAAGGACTGAATTATAATTGAATTAAAAGTTTAAAACTACAAGGACCAAATTATTAATTTTACATAAAACTTGTACTTGCCTTGAAATTCTCGGATCATTACAATAATGATAAATATAATGTGCAATTGAATACGTCAGGCTGACATTCTCTTGGAAAGAGAAGGGAAAATGTGGGAAGAAAAAGGCAACAGAAATTTGGAAAAAGAAGGGAAAATGTGAGAAGAAAAAGGCAATAGCAATTAACAGTTCTTTTCAAGCGTTGGCATGACTTCAACATGATTAAGGATCATATCATAATGAAGTTCTTAATTTTGTCAGCAAGCACAAATCTTTCCCTATGTGTGATAATTGATTGGTCAAGTTAAAATACTAATCCCTGAATCGAGTGATTCCAGCTACCATCCATGATAGACATAAAAGACAGACCTAAATTTACTGCATTCAGAGGACTATCATTGTCCCAGATTACACAATATGTACACGATGATGATGATTGTTAAACTAATACAACCAACATTGTAATGTTAAATGTGATGCAGTTAAGAAATGAAAGCTCCACTGCCTCCTTCTTTGAGCAACCAAAAAACGAACATAACAGATGTAAACACAAACATTTCAATGCACTGGCATTTTTATATATGTCATATATTTTTTTTAAGATACTGATTCTGAGGACTACAAGTATGTATAGCAATACGGATTACATTATGATTTGCATAATTACCTACCTGGCTACCTGCGCAAAATTCTTGCTAAACCTTTTTAAGGAATTCAAATCTAAACACCAGATAGTGCCCAGCAAGAGCAAACATAAAATACTGCGATTCCATGCAGACAAGTCCACTAAAGGGGCATTACTGGTGACAGGCAGCATTATTGTGAGTTCCCCAGGATGAACTCTCCCCACCCACTGCTACTTCTAACATACTTATCAATAATACCAAATTCTTGATTTTGAGCAACTCGCCTTGCATAGTTCTCAACTGAAATTGGTCCCTTCTTCAGCCTGCGGTAATAAATGATATGCCAGGGCCACAACCGAGCAGAACCAAATAAGTCATCCACTGCTAAATTTTCTTCATCATCTTTGGGATGTTCCAGGCCATAGTGCTTAAAAACCATGCGTATCTCCTCAGAGGATATTGCTGCTGAAGAAGTGACATTGGCATGAGTTTCTGAAGCTGGTTTCTCAACTCCTGGAGGCATATAATCCATAACCAACAATCCAGGATGCTCGAAGCTCTCTGTCTGCTTCATCTCTGAAGACAAATTCTCAGCATCTAGTGTATCCTTATCCGGCAGTGCTTTGGTGAAACTTGTTCCTTTGTCAGACATGCCAAAGAGAGTATCACTTTCATTATCGTCCTCTTGTGCAATTTGGTCCTTTCCCATGTCATCCACAATGTTGGCATATAATGCATCATTACCATTGACAGCAATAGTATCTTTGGATTTATCATTCTCTGATTCCAAATTTCTGCCAATCTGTTGTCCCTGTCCAACCAAATTATCCATGGATTTGGGAGCAGTAGCATCCAAAGTTGAGCCTTTTGAATTCAGATGAATTTTATTTGAAGATGATGGTAGAGGCCGACCAAGTGATACAGATAGAGATGAGGGGGTGCTTGACCTTCTAAAATTTGGGCTTCTGTCCATAGAATCATAAGATTTTGAAGGCCTTAAATTTGGGGACGAGGAATGAGCACTAGAAGAAGCTGTTCTTGATCTAGAATAGCTATGGGACCTTTGCAAAGACTTGGAAGATTGAGAAATTGAGTTCACAAGAGAAGCAGTATGATCCGAATGCAAAGAGATTGACCTTCTTGCTTTCTTTCCATGAGATCTTCTAGGAGATCCAATTTCCTTCCCACTACGCTTTCTTCCTTCATACTCATTTCTTTGAGACTGCTCAATATCCTTTGCTGTAGGGGAGAATTTATTTTCTGGTGTCTGGTAGTGACGTGAACGAGACAACCTACTCTCATTCTTCTGGTGCTTCATTAATGAAGTATCTCCACCTGACTGCAGCTTCACCAGAGAACAGATCCAAATTTATTGGAATCATCTTCAAACCTACGTTTCCAATTTATTTTATCAGCTTGCCCATCATCCCACCTGCTGTATTTTCTGCGGGATAAACTGTTTTTAGGACAGTTACGCATTTTGTGACCTGTATCACCACATCTATAACAAGTTTGCCCATACACTCGGTGACGTGGATGGTTGGAAGTCTCATCACCAATCCTTGCTCTACCCCCATTTTTATGGGAGTTTTCTGCAGGAGAATCACTAGCGTAACCTAAGTGGTGATTTTCATTCTCATGCTTCTTGTCATAACCATGATAAGGTTCATATTGATCAAAATCAACAGCATTTTCATTCCCATTGTCAATTGATGAGTCATGAATCGACTCACCCCACCTACCATTGTCCTCAAAGTTATGACAGGCTCCTGCTCCATCATCTGAAAAGCCTTGCCTGTAATCTTTTTCTTCCCCATCAAAATCTTTAAAATCATCATGATGATAATCCCTCTCTCCACTAGGCATGTCAACTGAGTTATTCCTTACATCATTACCAATTTTGAAATTCCTCCATCCATTTAAATTCATTTTCCTTCTTGCAATGCCTGCTATATCAGAATTCCTCACTCGTTGCATTTCATAATTTCGACCACTCCTAGCAAACCTTTGAAACGATTTGGGTTGTTTCTTTGACCACGTGAGAGTTAGCTGCTCCCCACATATATTTCTGCCTTGCAGTGCTATCAAAGCTTTCTCTGCATCTGGAGGGAAGTCATATACCACAAAACCATAGCCTTCTCCTTTCAGCCGAACGTTACAATGTCCAAATCTACAGAAGACACGCTCAAGCTCATCTCTTCGAGTGCGCGCAGATAGATTACCGATGTGAAGAGACATCTACAAAATTACCCACAGAAATATTAATTTAGGGAAAGGGATATGCTTGATATGAGAAATGTCTAAGAATAACAAAAATAAGGAAACTTCAAAGTTAAGAACATCTTTAACATGGCAGAAGAGGTTTTACAGTTGCTTGTGTGACAGCATAATTTGCTGCTAAAGCAGGTAATAGTAGTCATACCTATATTAAACAATTCATCTCATTATTATCAGAAAGAATTCAAAAATTCAAGAAAAATCGCTAGTCAAATCTCATCCAACTTAGATTCATTTATAATTTATTGTCTTCCCACACTTGCTAGCCACACTTGGACAGAGAAAAAGGATCGCCAAATAGTGTGTCAACAACTGCATATTTTTCAACAAGTCAGCAAATTGGTACTATATAAATGACATTGCATGCTTATAATGTGTCAACAACACTAGTAAAAACTAAAGAGTCAGATTAAATGCGTGGAAGTCCATTAAATAGCCGAAATCCCTTATCTTAACCCCCAAAAAAAAAAAAATCCCCCAGAGTATAGTCTGATTGAACTAAGCGAAGCATGAAACACCCTTTACACTAACATCTAAGTTACAGTTGCAAGAGGAGCTGCTGCATCAGATGTGTTTCTCCGATTCTCTACAAATTACAAGCGATAGAATAAATAATAAGCGCAAGATTAATAACAGAGGGAATGAGAACAGAAATACTGAGCTCAGTGGAAACGATATCCTGTGCCCCTTTTATTTTGAAACAACAAAATGGAATCGTGTGAAGAAACGCCCGTTTATTTCGTAAAATGAGCGAATTTACAACAGCAAGCATTATCACGCTAGGAGGACTCGGCTGCTTGGATTGTACTGGATGACCGAATTTACCCATGTAAAAAGTAACAACCGTTGAAAGGGGTTGGGGAGGGGATTTTATCAAACACGTCAACGCATGAACAAAAAAGAATCAGGAATACAATCAGAAACCCTAAATATAGGTCGCAACGGTAATGAATAAGCTTCAGTCGATGCAGTAATTACCAGGACGTAGTCGATCCTTCTCTCGCCACTCGGCAGGAATGGTCGCCGCCCTCTAACTGTCGATGAGATGGCAAGTTGGATGCTGATTTGGAATCGCCTCAGGCGAACACTGGACAGTGGATGTACAAGGAAGGAAGCTCAAGGAGTTAAGCTGTCGCGGGTTTAGAGGAAGGTGAAAAGCCAAGAAAAACAGATGCAGCCGGCGCTACTCGTGGAAGTGGAAAGAACCAGAGGTCTCACAAATACCAACCCCAGTCCTCACGCCACAACATTTGCTTCGCTCTAGAGGTGGCCGCATCAGGTTGTAAGTCACGTGCCAGGTATTGACCCTAACTTTTTTGGGCCATAACCCTGACTCGATATCGAATTATCTAATAAATTTAATATGAAAATAATGTATAATTTTAATGAGAGAACGTATGATTTTAATAATTTATTGAAAAGAAAATCATAACAAAATTTCTCAAATTGTATAAATAATAATTTAATTTTTTTAAAATATTATAATTTCATTAAAGTCTATAACAATTTTTTTATTAAAAATTTTAAAATAAAATAATTATTTTATCATTATCAAAAATAATAAGTCCCAGTCATAACTTTTACTTAAAAAATAATAACGTTTGTTTTATTAATCACGATAGTTGAATAGAAAATCATAACATGTATAATTTTTGTTATTAAAAACAAACTTTGATTATAACTTTTGCCTAAAAAAAATAATTTTTGTTATTGAAAATAAACTTTTCTTATAACTTTTGCCTAAAAAACAATAATTTTTATCTTGTGAATCATAAAAAATTAACAAAAAATTATAATTTATTAAGTATAATTTTTGTTACTGAAAAACAAGCTTGCAAAACAACAAACTCTAATTACAATTTTTATTCAAAAAATAATAACTTTTATTTAAAGAATTATAAAAATTGAATAAAAATTTACAACATGCATATCAATAAGGGTAAAATAATTTTTTTAATTTAAAATTTATTGATATAAAATTTCTTAAATATTTCAGTAAAATTATAATATTTTAAAAAACTAGATTGTCATTTATATAATTCAAAAATTTTATTATTATTTTTCTTTTCAATAATTCAATTAAAAATATTTTATAAATTATAATACTAAGCGGAGGGATCACATTTATATTTACATTAATAATGTGTATATCGACTCAATAAGAAAACAAACTTTACATTTACATTAATAATATGTCCATCGAATGGTTAAGAAAACAAACTGCTAGTGCCTTAGACAATGGGCCAAGGGCCAAGGTGGGCCGGTCATTGAAGTCCACTCATACTTTGAAATTCCAATTATTACCCGTTTACTGGTGAAAACCCCCTTACCCTTGTCTTCTTTCATTCCCATAATTGCCGTCGTAGCTTTTCTCCAGCCAGATTCTCCTTCGCTCAAACTCGACCTCCTCTCATATCTCTACTCTATCCTACAAGGAATTCTGATAGTTTGATCAGATCCACGACACCCACAGCAGTGAAAATATCTGCTAGGTATCTATGACGCTTGGCTCATCAGGATCTAGTGTAGTGGGTGAGTTGCAGACCTGAGATCTTGTTCTTACCTGCTTTTTATCCTTATCAGCCTTTTTTCCTTTCTTGTTTCTTTTAAATTATTTATTCGGTAGATGAATTCTGTTTTTCCCTTGTTGCCGCTGACCGTAAACACAGTTATTTTTGTTTTCATGTTTTCTGAATTTCTCTCCGCCCTCCCCATTTATCCATGTCCGTCCTCGTTCAGTTTTCCCCATTTTTCTTTGCACCACGATCATGTAAATAACGTGTAATTTTTATTTGATAACCGCAGTCTTCAGTCTAGTTTACTATGGCTGGTGAATTTTGCAAAAATCTTGGTTTGTATTTTATGGATACACCAATTACCAGTTCCTTGCCTGGCTATATGCGGCAATGATGCACAGCCATTTCTCAAGACTTTTTGACATTGCACTTAAATGGTTCTGGATGTTCCTCTGGACTGTATATCTTCTGGTTTAGACTGTATGCGCCAGTTTGACGTTATGTAACCATCACTTGCTGAGGTTATGGCACGGTACTGATGGGTTGAAGTAATGGCCACTGCTTGGCTCTGCCCATTCCCCAGCACTATGCGCTGAAACGTAAAATTAGAAAGACAATCTTGTTTGTATCCTCTCGAGGCGTTGAGCTCCCTCTAACACCGGGAAAACAAGAAAGAAAGAAAGGCAATCCTGTTCAAAATCTCTCCAGATCTAGCTTTAGCCAATCGTCTCGCTCTCCTTTCTTTTAGTAAATTAAGGCACTGGAAATGTTCTTTATTCTTATTTTCTTATCCTTGCAAATATTTAATCGATGAAAAGTCACCGGATCACCTGGAGTATATATTTTATCACCTCTCATGGGATTTGTTGGCAACGAATTCTTTGGTCCGATATTTATGCAAGTCTTGTGGAGTTGGAAAAAAAGGTCGCATATACTGGTTAAGGGTGATCATCTATCATAGGTATCAGAAAATATATTCTGAAATAAATTATGCATACCATTGAACATTATTGGTTTTTGTGCTATCAAACCACTTGGAGGGGCCTTTTTGTGTTAAATTTTGTAGAAAGGGTTGAATACACCAATTTCCTTGTCATCATTGAAATTGGTCATGGTAACATGCATCTAATCTTAAGTTTGGCAGTGGTCGTACGTGTGAAAATATGATTATATGATTTCTAGCCACATGTTTAAGTTTGTGTTGTTAAATGCATGCCATCTCAATGCAGTACCAAGAAATTTCAGATTGCTGGAGGAACTGGAACGGGGAGAAAAAGGTATTGGAGATGGCACAGTGAGCTATGGAATGGATGACGGTGATGACATTTACATGCGCTCTTGGACTGGCACCATTATTGGTCCTCATAATGTAAACATTTCTGTCACACCGTTTATATTTATTTTTATTTATGAGTTTGTAAAGTCTGATATTTTTTTATTTAAACAATTAAGCATTCATGCAGTGACTGATTTATTTATCACCACCAGCTCATGCGAAAAATTCTGCATTCTAGAAAAGCGTTCCTAATTTCATGGACATGTATTGTGTGCTTCGTTGCACATACTTTTAATCTGCGCATAAGTTTAACTTTCTAGTTACTGTGTCAGTTTCAAGAGTTGGATTAGATGGACTTGTGTATAAACTAATGCATACACACACACACAGTACATGTGGTTCACCGTTGGTAAGTTTATGCACCCAAGAATCTTGGCCAATATAGCTCACTGCTACAAGATTTCACCTCTAGCATTCATGATATTGACTGGAAGTAAACTGCAGTTGGTGAGTTTATGCACTTCTATAATTATATTTTGCTTTCAATAGAAGCGCTTTTGGCTTCATAGCATGAAGCTGAAGCTGTCATCTATAGATGGCCATTCTTTTGTCCGTTGAAATCTTTGGCAATGTAGCATCTTTGCACCAGCTATGAACAAATCTGGAGTTTGGATAATTGTCCTTCCTTTGTATAAGTATGGGCTTGCTATATATTTTCTGTGTTTTATTTGTAATTAAGATGCTGAGTGTTTTTCTCTCTCTTTCAGACCGTACATGAAGGAAGAATTTATCAATTGAAGCTCTTCTGTGATAAAGATTATCCAGAGAAGCCCCCAAGTGTTCGATTTCATTCTCGTATCAATATGACTTGTGTTAATCATGAAACTGGAGTGGTATTAGTTTTATATATTCATTTTTTATGCTTTTTGCTCATATATTTTAAGCAGGCACATGCTTTGGTGTAACCACCATTCATTTTGCAAACTTGATAACAAATTACCTGGGCGCCAAGATTTTAAGACGTGCAATTGAATCAGGTTGAACCAAAGAAATTTGGTCTTCTGGCAAATTGGCAACGAGAGTACACCATGGAGGATATACTGACCCAGTTGAAGAAGGAAATGGCAGCTCAACATAACCGGAAGCTGGTGCAACCTCCAGAAGGTACCTACTTTTAATCGTACAGATCAGATCGTGTTGCATTTGCAATATGCAATATATAGTGTGTAATGCTTTGTCCAGAAACATGTAGGGGAATCCCCTAAAGATCTTTATCTCACCGTGGCTCCAGATTTGTTCTCTCTTAATTTATCAACTGTGTTCAAGGATGCTGTTTGATTTATGGGATATTATCGGTGTCAAATATTTAAAGGCGCCTGCTTAGGTTTTAATCACTTATCATTGTTTACGCGCTTCTAGTCTGTCTCTTTCTAGACCCGGTCTGAGTGTTCATTACTTTGATGAGATCTAAACCATTCAGATTTTAATCCAAACCATCCAGATTTAAATTATTATTATATATTATATTTTTGAAATAAATTTCTAAAAATTATAAATAATTTTAATAATTTTTTTATTTTTAATATGGTTTATATTTAATTTGTAGTATCTAATTTAATATTAAAATTTTTGTAATTGATATATATTAACTATTTATATGTATTTTGCACAATTTAGATTTAATCTAATGTTAATTTAGATTGTGTAGAGTATATCTGGCTAGTATATAGTAATTATAAAAGTTTTGATTTTAAATTAGATTTTTCAAATTAAATTTAGACTACATTAAAAATAAAAAACTTATTAAAATTATTTTTAAATTTTTATTTTAATAAATATATAATAATATTTGGATGGTTTAAATTTTATCATAGTGTTGAGCACCAAACTCGTCTCTTTCTTTCTTCCATGTTTGCTTGCATTCTGCATTCAAAGTGAGTTGGAGCTAAAAGGAAAATGACCTTAGCCGTTTGGGCGTGTACATTGGGATTGGGCTTTTATTTTCCTGATAGGTTTTAGATTAAGTTTTATTTTATTTTATTTTATTTTATTTTATTTTTTCCCAGAGAGGAAGTGTATGAATTAAATTCCGCAAGTAAATGGTATGACATGACATGATTGTCCCTTCCACCCATTCTCGGTCTCTCGGCTCCCCGGGCTTCCTATTATTCAGTTTCTGAGATTGAAAGTGTATATTTTTCATAAGTCATTTTTATCAATTTAATCAATATTAATATAAAAAATATATATAAAAAGTAAAAATATATAAAATTTTAAATATGTCTCTATAACAAATTTAAAAAGTAATATCATATTTTTTTCATGAAGAGTAATTATAAAAATGCTTTTAAAATATTATTTAAAAAATTGCACCATAATTTATAAAGAAAACTAAATAAACATTTTAGAATGTAATTTATAAAAGAAAACTAAATAAACATTTTAGAATGTAATTTATAAATGGAATAAGAGTAAGTACTTATTAAAAATTAGACTTATATTATTGGAGAAGACTAAAATGCCTACAAATAATATGCAGATGTCCTTGTAGATGCTCAAATGATTTTCAAAGATGAATTATGATTAACTGCATGTTTGATTTTTTATTTATCAAATGTTGGCTTGTCAAAAGTTTATTTGACAAAAATTAATATAGTGAATGTGAAGAATTATAACAAAATTTATGTTTGACTATATTTTTTTAAAAAAGTTATTTTGATAAACTAATAGTTGTTTGGATTGTGTTAGTAAAATATGTTTTTTAATGTAAAATTATTAAATAAGATATTGATTTATAATAATTTATAATTTTTATTATACCAATGTAATATATTTGAAATGTTTGAAAAATGTGATAAAATTTTAAATATATAAGATTGATATTTTAAATAATAAAATTAAAAAAATATAAAGCTTCATATATTGAAAAATTAAATAATAAATAATTCAACCACTCCCTACGGTAAATACAGGATATTTTATTATTAAGACATATTTGATTTATAAGACATATTTTAAATGTAATTTTTGATTTAAAATATATGATATTTGTAATAATTAAATCACTTTTTTAATTTCATCCCTTTTTAATTAAGGTGAAGGTATTTAATATAGTTTTATTATTATTCAAAATCAAGAATAAAAATGACGGTATATCTTACTTTTTAATAATATAAAAAAAGATTAACTTTTCTTACAATACATAAAATGGTTAAAAGTGTCTTATAATAAAGATAGGAGGAAGTACATTAATATTGAAAATTATATGATTCAAAAAAAAAAATATATATATATACTCCTTTCATTAAAAAATGTAAGACATTTTTTAAAAATTTAAATATTCAAAAATGTAAAATATTTTTAATTTTTTGATGTATAATTATTATTTTTTTCAAAAGTACTGTTATGAATGAATGATTTTATATTTATTGTAGCGTATTTAATAGGTAAATATAAAAAAATAGGGTTAGTTTAAAAATAAGTGACAACTTTATTGAGGGTGAAATTCGACTAAAAATGCCTTATATTTTTTAACGGAGAAATATATGATAATTTTTATAAAAAAAGTTTAACCAACTAGACAAAACCTTCATTATTATTTAAATGATGATTATATTTTTAATGAATTAACAATATTTTGTAAATAAAAGAATAATAGATTAAAGGGGTAATATGGTTAAATAACATTTCACTTTTTAAATCCACTTTTCAAATCCTTTCCTAAGTTATTTTGCTAAATCCACATCCAACCCACTTTAAAAGGTACTTTCAAAAAGCACATTTTTCTAACCATGTGGTATTCAAATAGCTTTTAACATTTCATGTTAGAATGTGCTTTCTAGATGCCAAATGTAATTTACCTGAATAAACACTAAACCTTAAAGCTTAATACTCTTTTACTCCTATTTATAGGTATTAAAAAAAATATTTTTTCTGATTCTATTTATAAAATATTTCAAATATTATTATGTCTATTTTTACTTTTTTTTGTCTCTATTAAATATTGAGAATGGTTACTAGATGACAAAGTATTTTATTTTTCAAATGTATATACTTAATAAGGGTAAAGTTAAAAATTTGTTGAATTTTTAAACGGTTAATAAAATTTAAATTTTTTTTTGATGAAAATAATATAAGTAACTTATGAATAAAATATGCTTATAGGATGATGTAATTAATGTAGGTGGGTTTGTTAGATGTAAGTACCATCGTGTTTTATGTGCACTCTGTCAATAATCCCGGGTCAGCAGAAATGTGAACTCTTTTTCATCTTTTAACGCCAATCAAAGTATAAAAGTGAGAAATAAGATGAATTGCTTTGTTAAAACTAGAAGGAAAAGAAGACACACGAGAAAATCACGAGGTAAAGGAGATTCAATTCCAATTATTTTAACATTTAGGAGGTAGAAAAATATTCTCAGAGTAAAAAGTTAAATGATAATATGTACTTTAAACTATAAATTTAAAAATGATTTGCTTTGTAAACTCATATTTACTGCATTTTAAATTCTGAATAATTAAATTTTGGATAATGTAACCCTATGGTTTGGTTCAATAAATTCTCTCTCCCTCGCTCCCCTCCCTTCGTTTCTCTCTCTTCTCACTCTGCTTGGTTGCTTCTTCTTTTCAAAAGTAGTGGAGATAATATGCAGAACAAGCTGGGTGAAGCTAGAGAAGAACAAGCAGAAGCAGTGCTATTGTTCAAGAATAATAGACAACGTTCTGAAAGTGCACAACACTCGAAAAAATGCAAGCTTGATTCGAAGAGTATATATAGAGAGAGTGCAAAGATAAGAGCTAGCGAGCTCCAGAAGAAGCACCCTCGTTGCCTGGTTGATGGCAACGAGCTTCTTCACTTCTGCGCCACCTCCCTCTCTTGCTCTCTTGGGTTCAGCACCAACAGCCTTTGCGTTTTTTAGAGTGGCTCCGTCTGCAGAATCATCATAAACGGCTTCTTTATGAAGGAGGAGGTGAACATTAACGGCAACGAGATCAGGATATTCATGGCGTTGACTGAGTGGAAGAGCACTGGAGAATGTGAAGGAGATAATTGAGCTTCAGAGTGGGTTTGATTCTTTGGCTGGCAAACTAGGGGGTTATGAGCTTTATTTGCTAAATCCTTCTTCTCTTCCTCCTTGTTTTTGTTATCATTTGTAAATCTTAAGACTAGCTTCTTTGAGATATTTAGAATGTTGAATTAGTGTGAGTGTTATGTGTTAAATCAAATCTACGCAGTGGCAACAGAGGTCGGCGACTTCATTCTAGATCTACAACTTTTCAGATCGACGAGGGGAAGGAGATGGGGGAGATATAGAGCTTGTTTGTTTTTTGTTTTTAAAAATAAAAAAAATTACAAATTTATTTGAATAAGTTTTTTTTATTTAATTGTTTTAAAACTATTTTCATTCTTTCTTTTTAAAAACTAAAAAAATAGAGACTACTTCAAGTTATTTTCTTTTTATTTTTCTTATTTTTAAATATACTACATTTGGTTATTGAAAATTATAATTATCTTAATTAATTTTTATTATTAATCATCATCATTAACTGTTTATAACTATCACTATCAATTCTCTTTTTAATTTTAAAATTATTTTTAAATTGATATAACTAAATAAATTTTCATTTCATTTTGTTTTTTTTTAAAATTTTAAAAACTATATTATAAAATATTATTTAAAAACAAGAAATGAAAAACCAAACAGGCCCATAATTTTAGGTCCACATATAAGCAGTCATTTGTTCAAAATTGACATTAGAGGTTGGATTGTTTTAAGTTTTAATTGTTTTGATTTAAAATGTATCAAATATGATTTTAGAATTTAAATTATCCTTGACCCTATAATTTAGGGTCCACATTGTCATGTGACCTTAAAATAAATGAGAAATGCATTTATCTTATATTTTTATATATATTTCTCATTATTTTAAAAATAATTCATGTACGAAATCCATCCTTTGCACATGTTCATAAATAAAGATGCACAAAATATATGCCAAGTTGATTGCGAGTTATTCTTCCTGTTTATGATTATAAATACAAATAATATGAGAAGAGTGTATTCAAAATTTAAATTTTTCAAAAAAAAAAACTTAAATGTATACATCTTATATATACAGATTAATCATATAAGTTAAGTTTTATGTTTAATAAAATAAATATATACTATCTTGTAGATATATTTTAAAATTGCAACTAACTTGTTTTTAAATCGCATTATTAAATTGGTCATTTTGTATTTATCACGTGTAAATTAAACATTAGAAATACATCTTCAATTATTATTTAGTTAGGAGTCGTTTAAAAAAATAAAATTTAATAAAGAACGCCATAAGGGTATGAGACGCAGGTCAAACTTAGCACTGGCTTGCGGTTTGCCCAGCCTCCTAGGAA